ACCGAATACACGTCGGGATACAATATGCCTGATTGAAAAAAATGACTTAGTAAAATCCTGAAAATCCCGAAGTGTATTTCGGTAACGAAACACCGAATACATGTCGGGATACAATATGCCAGATCGAAAAAAATGACTAAGTAAAATCCCGAAAATCCCGAAGTGTATTTCGGTAACGAAACGCCGAATACACGTCGAGATATAATATGCCAGATCGAAAAAAAGGACTAAGTAAAATCCCGAAAATCCCGAAGTGCATTTCGGTAACGAAACACCGAATACACATCGGAATATAATATGTCAAATTGAAAAAAATAACTAAGTAAATCCTGGAGTGTATTGTAAGTTAATGGATGTGTTTGTCTTCGGTATACCATATATAAGACTCTTTTCACTATACATTCGGTGGAATATATAGTTTCCATTAACCATCTCTCGGAGCCGAAGGAGAGATGGTTAATGGAGGCTGAATATTCCGCCGAATGTATAGTCAGCTTTACCATTGGATCGTCAGCTTCACCCTCGCCCCCACCCGGCTTGACTTCATAAGAAGGGGGGGTGCTGCATGTTGCGCCTCTTGGTCGTGTGCCTCGAATGGGCTCTCGTTTTCAACATTTACTTAATTTACTTATTTATTTATTTACTGCCTGGTTCTATTTTTGTCTGTTTCATAGCATCGTTTAGGAATTTTCAGCAGGTCCAAACAGACCAGTGTCTATTCGGACAAAGGCCACGTTTTGGCCAGGTTCGGTTTCGTATGGTAGTGTAAATTCCCTGCTGCATCAGCGGGGAAGGCCTGGACGTCCGACAGGGACCCAAGCAGGCCGTTTTTAGGCCAGGCACAGGAGCAGGACTTTTCTGTGCGATCTGGACCGTGGATTGGTCCCTCAATCTCGCGGCCCAGATTAAAGGTCATGGGCATTGTCATGCTGTTGGAGCAGTGCACTACTTCAGCGCTGCGCTGCATAGGGGTAGAGAGAGAGAGAGGTTGAGGGGCGGTGGGCATACCTGTGAGGAGCGAGCAGCTTACTTGGGCGCCATAGCAGGTACCTGCGCGAGCGACCTGCAACATAGAGGAGCACGTCAGCTCGTTAGTACATGGCGACAGTTACCTGCAGGTGAGACAGCGGAGAGGACGACATCTTCTTCTTCTTCTTCCTGTTCTCGCCCTCCTTCTCCTTCCTCTCCCTCTTCTTTTTCTCCTTCATTTCTTCTTTTTCTTCTTCTTCTTCTTCTTTGAGAGAGAAGTTATAGACAGAGGTTATGTTGGGCTATGAGGCCCAAGATCTAGTTCGACATCATAGCAGCATACATTTATTGGACATTCGACAGGGAGATTATTTTTGGACTTCGCTATCGCGATCTTGGTCTTCTCCCTCGTCTCCATCTTCGTCTTGCTTGAGGGACCTTTCTTCCGTGTGTGCGGTCCCTCTCTTCTCTCTCACATGTGCGGTGTGTAATAGGATGAGTCACGTCAGTATCTTACAGGTCAGGTCATATCTTTGAGTCTTATGCTGCGGTATATTGTGTTATTTTTGTATGTATATGGATGTACATTGCTTGTTGATGCTTCGCTGATGCTGGATTGTCCATTCGAGTCGTTATCATCACTTTGTCGATCCTTGGCTTTATTTACATCGCTCGACTTATATCGAGGCTAATAATCGAGCATGCATCAATGGGTGTACCAAAAGAGCTACCAGTTGGTGCAAGAGTCTTTCTTTGATAAATGTCGCACATAAGAGAACTTTTGCGACTCTGATTAATTGCTGAGATTCAGGTTTTCCTATTCTGTACAAACAAGATATGGTAGCGGGGAAAAAAAACAAAAAAAAAACAGATATGATAACGAAAAACGTAAGGGTAACTTGCCTTCCTCGATGATCTCCTCTTCCGCCAATGCTTCAGCTTTTGCAGGATCGAGTATGAGACTTTCCTGCATGACGAGTTGAAGGTGACGGGGAGGGTAGGGAAGGAGGGAAAAGGGGGAAGGGAGGAGGGGGAGGAGGGAGAGGAGGGAGGGGAAAGGAGGAGGGAGAGGAGGGAGGGGGAAGGGAGGAGGGAGAGGAGGGAGAGTAGGTAGGGGGAAGGGAGGAGGGAGAGGAGGGAAGGGAAAAGGGGGGCAGGTAGGAAGGGGAGAGGGAGGGGGTTGGGTTGGGGGATGGATAACACCACAAACTCCCAGTGAGCATGCTAGCATGTTTGACTCAATATCAGTTTCATGGGTCTTGCATGTTCCTTAGTAACACCTAGTGCACTCAATAAGTTATTAAGATTCGAGGAAGCTGCATATGCTCAACACCCACCCATAAGGTATTAAGAGTCAACGAACAAAGTTCAACAAATAACGTGACGAACAAACAAAATGAAGAAGGATGAAGGGAGGGAGGGAGGTAGACCGAGGAACGGAGGCAGGGAAGGAAGGAAGGAGATAAAGAAGGAACGAGGAAGGGAGAGAGGGAAGGAAGGGAGGATGAAGGAAGGAGGGAAGGAGCGGTAATGAAAGCATGAACGGAGATACAATTGAACTAACAAATAGATCAATAAAGAAACGAATTAACAAACAAATGAACACGAACAAATAAATGAACGAACAATTTAAAAAAAATGAATAACTCACAAACAAAAAAATGGGTAAACAACAAAGGAACAAATGATCGGGTAATTGATTGAATGATACATCGATCAAATGAATGAATGAACAAACAAACAAAATGAAGGAATGAAAGAATCAATGGGGATGGTTTGGATTGGATGGATGGAGAGACAACATGATAGGGTGGATGGACAATGAAGGAGATTGGTGAAAATGGACTAGGAAAGATGAATTGAAGGCATTTATCAATAGATGGTAATGCCCAAAAAAATGAATCAGCAAACGAAGACTATAGGTAGTATAGGACCTTGCATTACCGCTAAAAGATTGGCAATTTCCGTGCTATAAAGAAACCTTGCATCAATTCTGCTCAATAAAGGGCAAAACGATTTGTTATCATGTATCGAGGGCGAGTCACGTCACTTACCAGAAACTTTGCTTCATCCACGGCTTCATCCAAGCGTTTCGCCAAAGATTTGAGAGCCTTCTCCTGTATTTAAATGGATAAGAATCGATACAGAAACGTAAACAAAATCCTCCTGAACGGAAGTAGACATGCACCACCAGCCCAATTGATTCCAAATCTCTCCTCAAGGCTGCAGCGGTGAGGCCCTTCCCTACAACACTTCCAGGCGTGTCACAACAGCAGGACCAAGAGCACAAAACAAGCAAGGCAATGACATCATAAAAAATAGAACAGAGCAAGCAACCACAGTCAGTGCCTACATGAACCATCAATCAAGATGGACAGTAGTAGAACCCACAATATACAAAGTCCGTGATAGGATAAGCAATAACTAAGCATCCGTAAATGCTAGTTGCAGCACGACCCACAATAGGGCGTACCAGTACATACTGCCTGCTGACAGCAGCAGCAGCAGCAGCAAAAGTGACAACAACAACAGCAGCGGGAGGAGGAGAGGAGGAGGAGGTGGAAGAGAAGGAGAATGGGCAAAAGGGAAGATGTCCATATACTAGCTTCTTGTATCAGTTAGAAATTAAGACTGCTCGAGAGCAATGCTGGTAGCAACAGAACGAGGAAGAGGAGGAGGAGGAAGAGGAGGAGGCAGAGGAAGAGGAGGAGGAGGTAAGGACATGTCCCTATACGAGTTTCGCATATAAATTAATACTAGCTAAGCGCCTGCAGTGCGGGTGGTGCGGACCATGCCCGCAAAAATAAGAAATGTTGTAGGAAACCTGACACGGACCACTCACATATATTGAGACAGACTTAAAAAAAAAAAAAGGAATTACAGCGTAATAAAGAATAGCCTAAAACTGCCTACGAAGTCAGAGTTTGATTGACGAATAGCTTAGCATCCGCGGTGTGGGCGGTGTGGGCGGTGCGGGCTACGCCCGCAACTAAAACTACTGAAGCAGTAAAGAAAGTACCATAGACTAGAAAAGAGTGTCGTATAGTGCCGTAGAGTGTCATAGAGTAGAGTACAGTAGAGCAGAGTAGAGTGGAGTAGCGTAAAGTAAAGTAAAGTAGAGTAGTCGTAGAGTAGAGTAGAGTAGAGTAGAGAAGAGTAGAGTAGAGTAGAGTAGAGTAGAGTAGAGTAGAGTAGAGTGTCGTAGAGTAGAATGTCGCAGAGTAGAGTAAAGTAAAGTAGAGTAAAGTGTTGTAGAGTAGAGTAGAGTGTTATAGAGTGTCATTGAGTAGAGTAGAGTGGAGTAGAGTACAGTGTTGTAGAGTAGAGTAGAGTGTCCTATAGTGTCGTAGAGTAGAGTAGAATGTTGTAGAGTAGAGTAGAGTAGAGTAGAGTACAGTGGAGTGGAGTGGAGTGGAGTGGAGTGGAGTGGAGTGGAGTAGAGTGGAGTGGAGTGGAGTGGAGTGGAGTAAAGTAGAGTAGAGTAGAGTAGAGTAGAGTAGAAGAGTAGAGTAGAGTAGAGTAGAGTAGAGTAGAGTAGAGTAGAGTAGAGTAGAGTAGAGTAGAGTATAAAAGAGAAGACTAGAGTAGAATGTCATAAAGTGTCGCGGAGTATAGTAGAGTAGATTGTCGTAGAGTAAAGTTCAATATCATCCAGTAGACTAGAGTAGAGTGTCTGAGAGTAGAGTAAAGTGTCGTAGAGCAGAGTAGAGTAGAGTAGAGTAGAGTGCCATAGAGTGTCTTAGAGTAGAGTGGAGTGTTGTAGAGTAGAGTAGTGTAGAGTGGGTAGAGTAGAGTAGAGTAGAGTGGAGTGGGGTAGAGTAGAGTAGTGTCGTAAAGTAAGGTACAGTAGAGTGTCGTAAAGTGTTGTAGAGTAGGATATAGTAGACTAAAATGTCGTAGAGTAGAGTAGAGTGTTGTAGAGTAGAGTGTCGTAGAGTAGAGTGTCGTAGAGTAGAGTGTCGTAGAGTAGAGTACAGTAGAGTGGAGTGGAGTACAATAGAGTGTCGTAGAGTGTCATAGATTAGAGTAGAGTAGAGTAAAGTGGAGTGGAGTACAATAGAGTGTCGTAGAGTGTCGTAGATTATAGTTAATAGAGTAGAGTGTCGTAAAGTTTCATAGAGTAGAGTAGAGTCTCGTAAAGTACAGCGTCATAGAGTAGAGTGTCGTACAGTACAGTGTCATAGAGTAGAGTGTCGTGCAGTAGAGTAGACTATAGTGTCGTAGAGTAGGGTAGAGTACGTATAGTAGAGTGTCGTAGAGTAGAGTGTCGTGAAGTAGAGTAGAGTAGACTGCCGTATAGTAGAGTATCGTGGAGTAGACTAGAGTGTCGTAGAGTGTCGTAGAGTGTCGTAGAGTAGAGTGTGTGTGTGTGTGTGTGCGTATCACGTGTTTGTGTGTGTGTGTGTGTGTGTGTGTGTGTGTGTGTGTGTGTGTGTGTNGTGTGTATGCGTGTGTGTGTATGTGTGTATGTGTGTGAATGCCCCCGTGTGTGTGTGTGTGTGTGTGTGTGTGTGTGTGTGTGTGTGTGTGTGTGTGTGTGTATGTATGTGTGTGTGCCTTTATGGGTTTGCTTCCGCCTTTGTCTTTTCTTGTGTGTCAGTGTGTACAGTGGTGTGGGTTCAGTCGTCGTTTTGGGAGATGGCCTGGCTATGGTGGAGGGCGGTAGTGTCACGACGAGTTTGTCCTGTTAGCATGTTCGTTTGTCTTGCGGTGTGTCAGGTGTATCGTTTCGGGTAGTGTTTCGGTAGAGCGTCGTTTGGGACCGAGGCGGAGAAAACGTTTTGGTTTTGAGCGTGTGAGTCTAGATCTGGCTTACTTTGATTGTACGTTTTGATTTCCCTGGGATCCATTGACCCATAACTGAAACGCGGGGGCGTGGCCTTTATGGTATATAGGTTTCTTAGCTTTGTGTTGTTTATGTTTGAGGCCGAGGGTCATATTTCAAGGCTTGAGGTTTGTGTTATGTGTGAGTTTATAAATATGAGGGGTTGTAAGAGGATGCTTCAACCTTTTACTGGTTTATTATTTTGATTATTATTTTGATTATTATTTAATATTAATGTTATTATTATTATTTATTATAATTATTAATATTATTTTAATTAAAAAGATTATTATTGTGTGTGTGTGTGTGTGTGTGTGTGTGTGTCCCTATGGTTTATTATGATTTATTATTACTATTATTATAAAGAAAATAATTTTATAAAAAAATAGTGTGTATGTGTGTGTGTGTGTGTGTGTGTGTGTGTGTGTCCCTCCCCGTTCCCTCGTAATGGAGGTCCGGGTGGGGTACTCCATCCGAATCAAGCCAAAGAGTTTATATTTGGCTTACACTTGTTCTATTTCGATTGCTGCATGTTGGGGCTCAAATTCGATTATCATGATTGTGATGATTTGTGGTATTATCAGGTTAAGAGATTGTTGCATAGGTTTGTTGGAGTGTGTTTGGATGAATCTGGTGATAGGAAAGTTTAGTTCCTTTCTTTTGTCATATTTGTATGTTTTGAAGTGACCAGAGTGAGCGTTGGTGATCTCGATCGTTGTGTTGAGAAAGTTGGTTTTGGTCCCTATGCATTTGCTGTTGACTTCTGTTTTTTCAGAAGTTTGCTCATTCAGGGTAATGAGTTGCAGTGGGTATAAGAAGTATTTACTTCTTGTGCTGGTGATCTCCGGGTTGAGGAACTCATGTATTCTTAGGTTATTAATGATATGAAAGTCATCGAAATATCGGAAGGCGTGTCGGAATAAGTGTAGGAGGTGTCTGCTGGTTTTGTGGGCAAGTTTTCTCATGAATTTGTATTCGTATTTGAAGACGTAGATATTGCACCATACCGGTGCACAACTGACGCCCATTGGGATGCCCAGAACCTGCTTCGAGATGTTGTTGCCAAAAGATGTGTAGGCATTTGTGATGAGCCATTCATTGATTGCGTTAACCATTTCATTATTAAGGGAGAGGTATCCATTGGGGGGGTTGTTAAACCAGTCACATGTGGGGGTTGGTTGGTCTCCTTTATAGTAGAACTTGAAGGCAAGTTGTACATTATTACCAGCTAGTTTCTTGGCCTGTTGGAAGGCTAATTTTATGAAGAACTTGATTGCATTTGGTAGTCCATCTGAGCTGTCATCAGTGGGTATGGTCTCGTAGCATCTTGTTATATCTGCGGAGAAGACACTAGTTACCTGCGTGGGTATGTTGTAGACGTAGTCTGCTGTCGAGTCTATGGGCCACCAGTAGGGCACTTTAATACCAGTTTCGTTGAGAGTTTGCTGGGTGAGGTATCCACAGTGAGTTCTCACAACCTGGATTAGTCGTTCGTTAACGGAATTAACCAGACAAATCACTCCACCAACTAAGAACGGCCATGCACCACCACCCATAGAATCAAGAAAGAGCTCTCAATCTGTCAATCCTTGCTATGTCTGGACCTGGTGAGTTTCCCCGTGTTGAGTCAAATTAAGCCGCAGGCTCCACGCCTGGTGGTGCCCTTCCGTCAATTCCTTTAAGTTTCAGCCTTGCGACCATACTCCCCCCGGAACCCGTAAACTTTGATTTCTCACAAGGTGCTGGCAGAGTCATCCAATAGACATCCGCCAATCCCTAGTCGGCATCGTTTATGGTTGAGACTAGAGCAGCAAGGTCAGCGAGCGGAGAGGAAATTACGTCAGACGCATTGGTGAGCCAGCGAAAGGAGTTTTTGTGCTTCTTCTATGTGGCGAAGAGATATGGTAGTGACTTGTTCCTAATTGGGATGTCGAGAAATATTTTGATGAGCTCTTCTTCCAGGTGGGAAAGTAGTTCATTAGCAGAGATGGAGCAGGGTTCAAAGTCGGGACTGGAGAGTCTCTGTAGGGCAAGGTATCTCACAAGATTAATACAAATGAGTACTGGAGTATTCGGGGCTTTGTCAGCACCCGAAATATAGAAATGTGAGGTGAGGAATTTGATTTCATGTCTGATTGCATGTTCGTATATGTTGGTTTCCTTGTTTGGATGACAGTTCTTGATTGTTTGTAGTATGATGTCGGTAAATTCTTGGTTTGATTCTTGTGTATGTTTGTCCGAGAGTGGTACTCCATTATTTTCAAGAGTGCTTATGAGGTTCTTCCAGACTAGACTTGTTGTTGCCATGTTGTCAGCTTTCTTGGGTGTATCTGGTGGGATATGATTTAGGCCTTTGCGGATCAGAGTTTGCAGTTCCTTGTGGCTAATTACGTTCATGTCTAGAGTGATGACATGTGCAGCTTCTTCTTGTGGAAGGAGTTCAGTAGGGAGTGAAGTGGTAAACTTAGCAAAACGTTGTTGGTGACAAAAGCATGTGTTTTGCAGTTGGGTTAACCATTCATTTAGTTCGAAGTCTCGAAAGACAGCTGCGGGTTTATACAATGTTTTGGCTATGTGGTCATTGTATGTCCATGAGAAAGTGCAGTGGTCCAGAAGGGGCAGGGCGTTTGGGATGTATTTTCTTAGGATTTTCTCGAAGATTTTCTGGAATTTAAATCTATCCATTAGTCGATTTGGGTAGTGACAGGTATTATGATTTTATTGTTTTGTCTGTTGGCTTTCCATCTGAGTCTTCCATCCTCCATGGTCTGTAATCGCAGCCCCTGCACAACGTACGGACAATCATTAAGCAGTCACATGATCGTAAGAAAGGGAATGCTTGACCCGGAGTTTGAGTGTGGATCCATATGGGGGCAGGAGGAAGGGTATGGGGGTTGGTCTTAGCGGTGTGGGACGAATCATGATTTGGCGGTGGCGGGCGGGGCCGGGGGTTTATGCAGTTTGGGTGTAGCTGATGGGTTTGGGCAGAGATGAGGACGTTGGGTTTAGGTAGGCAGAGTACAACGGATAGTAGGTGTGGGGTGTTCATTGCAATTTGAGACAGATTATAAACATAATTTATTCAAAACAAACAGTTTTTCGGAATGCAGGTAATTAAGGGCTGGATCCTACCAGCGAAAAAATTCTGCTTATATAAGTCCCAGAACCCTGTGCCAGAGGAGAAAATCAGAGACAATGGCATCTTCGATCTTTGAATGCTCAGTACCAGGTTGTTGTCTCAGACAATTGGGGCTCTACATTCCGAATTTACTGGAGTATGGGCTCTGTGCTAGTACTTTCGACGTATCAGACCTACTTATGTTATTTACCAGGATTTTTCTATTTATATATGGATCACAGTAGCACAGTATATAGCCAGCGGTATACATCTATGTGGTTCAATAGACTGTGTTAATCTTAGTCAAGAAAAGGCAATCTTGGAGTATCATATCAGCTCAGCAGGGGAGCAAAATAAGTAGTTCTAGCTGTTTGTGATACTTGAGATGCCGAATTGGTAGTCGGGGGCTGAGCTTGCGACAGACTCTCTTCCATGAATCTTCGGATGTCGCAGATTCTGCGCCGAGAGTTGTCTGGTCAATGGAAGTCCTGAGCAGAGAAGATTCGGCACTGCTGGCACCATAATTGTGTCTGAGTGCCTCAATTGCGGATGTGGGCCATATCGGTGTATCTGGCGATGGTGAGCTGATAGTGATGAGGAGCTGTGGCCTTTCGCCATCGTTGATTTCGCTGCTGCTAACTTGGATGATCTCCGGATTTCTTTGTGTTGGAGGTTGCTCGGGTATGTTTACCCTACCGTGTGTCTGAGGCCATTGGTGGAACAGTTGTTCGGCTGGTGGCAACCATGTGTGTGCAGGATGAGGTGGCAGGTCAGTTTGGGTATGAGTAGATGTGCCAGTGATGGAGATACTGTGTATAGCGGCTGGTTGCCTGGGAGCAAGGGGTAGCTGGTGGGATGTGGACGCGTTCTGTCGCAGTGGCAGGGCGTGGAGGAAGTCGTGCATATCTGGCTGGCGGTAATCGCTTTGCGGCTGCGCATGCCTTGCACGCTTTTGCTTTTGCTTGTTATTCTGCAGCGGATGCAGCCTACTAGACTTATTACCTCTACGGGTGTTGTGCCTTTGCGGGGTGGGAAGTGGGTTCATTGCGATGCTCGGTAATTGTTGTCTTCTCTGTGCCAGTTTGTTTGCTTCTGTGATGTGGTTAGGTGCCGGAGGGACGAGGGTGTTACTGTTACTGGTGGGTGTGAATATAGTGGTCATGTGACCAGGTGTACTGTAGATGTTTGTGCCGGTAGTTCTTTGGATGGAGAGGACGGAGGTCGTATGGTTAGCGTTAGGTGTTGTGGCAGCGGTGTTTCTTGCAGCGTGCTGTGCAGCGGCAAGGGTGAATGCGTTAACTTGCAGATGTGACAAGGTGGGGGCCTGGTTGGCCCATTGGTTGGGGGAAGTGAGGGTGGGGAGTGGTTGCGTGCCAGTTTGCAGAATGGGGTGGGGTGCGGAGTGGTGGTTATGTGTGGTAGTTGCAGCGGGTTGTTGTGTGCTGTGGTTGCTCTGTGGCATGTGTTCTGCGCCAGGTGTGCTGTGTTGTGGAGGGGTGTGTGATGGTGGGGTATTTGCAATGGGATGTTGCTGTGTGCCTGAAACAGGCTGTCGCAGCTTGTCAGGTGTTGAGGTGGGGGCAGTCGTGGGGGGCATGGAACCAGTTGTGGATGTGGGGGTCAGGTGTGCCGGTGTGTGGGTTGCAACCGAATTCGGAGTGGGAGACTGTGATTGCAGTGCTGAGGATGCCAGCAGTGTGTGTGTTGCAGGGGAGCATGGGACGGGGGTGCCTAGTCGCGTTTGGCGGCATCTGCGCAACGAATTATCTTCGTAGTCAGCGGTACCGTTCCTTCTGGCAACTTTTGGTGTCAGGATACCTTCCGCGTTGGGGAGGAGAGCTGCAGTGAACTTGCGTATGAACGGCACGTCCTTGAAGTCTTCATAGTGGAGGATTTCCTCAGCAGTAATCATCTTATTCTGCGTGATGAGGTGCACAATCTTGATCATGTATTCTCTCATGAAGAGGAACATGATCTGAGCAAGGATCGACTTTCTCCATGAAGTGCGCGGCAGGGCCTGGAACTCGAGCATCCTGATCTTGTCTGAAGGAGCATGCGGGTCTAGCTTGTCAAGGTTACCGATGGCATACCAGAGCATGTGATCCAGCCATGTGAAGTTTACCTCACATCCGGTGCATGCACATTTGAGAAAGGGTCTCCCAGCATTCCACAATTTCTTGAGTTCCAACAGATCTATTGGGAACCTGGGGATTCCTTTCTGGTGCAGCAGTGGCTTCGTCGGACATTTGCCTTTCTCCAGCTTGGAAATCGGCGGGAAGTCTGCGTCCAATCCAGCTTTTCCGGCAGGGAAGTGGATCGTGGCATTCCTGGCCGCAGTTCGCCAGTTTGCTATATCCGCACTGCTCAGGCCGGCAAGTGCCATGTAGGCATCGACACTGATTGGTGCGGTATAGTTAAACGTTTCCAACTTCCATAGTCGGTTATGTACACGTTGCACAACCTTTTCCGTCCACGTGCTTGAGGCAAGCAGTAGGAAAGGGTTTTTTTTGCCGAACTTGTGGCTAGTGTCTCTGGGCACCGTGGAGACGTCGAGGTGGGTACAGTCTTTTCTCATTGCTTCCTTCCTTTTGAAGTATTCTAGTTCTGCTTGCGTAAGCGAGATGCTGCTGATGTAGGTCTCTGTGAAGGTTTTTGTGCTCTCACTAGTTGAGATTTGTCCCGCGCTGTCCAGATGTGAGGTGTCGTATCCGTGGATGCCGAGGATGATCTTCTCAGCTTTGGCGACGATGAGGTTCAATTCTCGGTTCTCGATGGCCGCCCTCTTGCAGGCCTCTGTGATGTTGGAGGCAAACTCTTTGATCTTGTCGTCGAGTTCGAGGGGTCTGGTCTGCAACACGGCAACCATGGTGGCCCAGTCGCTAAAAGAGAGGTTCTCTATTAGGAATGGGGCCTGTACATTAGTCGCCTGATGCACGCGCAGTAGAACATCTGCAGGAATAGCCAGCATGGCTATCTGACAGTGCACGATGGGTGGCTTGAGGGCAGAGAACGGTCTGATGGTAGCGACCAGTTCTGGATGCCAACCCATTAGGATACTGTCTTGATCCTGCACAATTTTACATGCGCGCAAGGGATTAGTGTTTTGCAGAATTCCAATCCTATTTATGGCAAGCTGGGTAAAGCAGGCAGTTCAGCATAAAAAATGTCGTTTATTATTAACGGGTACTTAGGTTGATTTTTGTTGCCAATCTGCCTAAAAAGTGCTTTAGATGGCGAAGGTCTGTATTATGCGTATGATCTTGTGGTAGGGTATAGGGTTGGGTAGCGCATGTGGAAGAGTCAAATAGAGGGGTGCATCGGTTGTCAGTATCGGTTATGGGTATCCGTTAGGTTCGTTGCTTTGGTTTGTGGAACCGTATTGATATCCTTTATATGGCAGCGAGAGTGCGGGGGCTCTAGTTATGTATTATGGAGGGTTAAGGAGAGCTTGGTATTTTGTTTTGATATTTAGTTTTAAATTTTGCAATTATATATATATATATATTATTTTTATATATTTAAAAAAAAGTTAATTATTATTTTTATTAAAAAGAATTTAATTTTTAATTTTAATTTTTTTATTTTTAACTTTATATTTTTAAATAGTGATGGAAAATATATTTTTTTTTTTAACTTAATACGTGGAACTTTTTTTGTATCACAAGCATGGTAGGTGCGGTTGCGAGAGCGTACAGAGTAGCTATATGTTTGTGGGGTCTTTCATTTAAGAGGGGAGTATGTGGGGTGTATCATTTGTCGTTACGTACCATTGGTTTGTGGAATTTTTATAGCAGATCGAGGTTGTATGAGTGTGGGTTTTCATCGTAGCAGAGTATAAAAAGGCGTAGGTGTTGGAAGCAAGGCGTGCTGTGACAGGTTATCATTGCGGCATAGTGGGCGAGAGCTACAGAGTGAGCAACTGCCACTGCGTAATCTAGACTTTTGAGAGCGGGGTTGGTTCGAAGTAAGCATCTTTGGTTGCTGACGTGGAGGGGAGAGATCGGAATCGGGGGGTGAGAAGGATGTGGATCATGTAAGCTATAGCGGTGGGTGGTGGGTTTGTGGTTTGGGTAAGCTTCCGTTTACAGGGTTCGGGGAGGGCAAGAGGCGTGAGGGAGGGGCAGCGAGCGTGTGACCATAGGCATAGTATCCAGAGATCGGTTGTATGCGTGATAGCGGAGGAAGTGCATGCATTTGGCTAGAGGTGGATGATTGGATACGATCGTGAGCATTCTTGAGAGGGGGTGTAGTGGTGAGGAGGCGGAGGGGAGGAGCGACAGAGAGGTTGTGTCTACGAGCGGATGCGAGGGGAGGAGGGGGGCTGGTATTTTTTGCGAATTATAGCAACGGTGGTAGTTTGTCGCGGTCAGGTGGCGGGCTGTACGATTGTGGTGTACGAGATGTCAGAGCATCGTGATTATCGTCCGGATCGTGATTTTGGCTTTGTGGCGGCCGTCAATCGTCATGGTTATCGCCAGTATGAGGTGGATGCGAATGGGCAGTTGGTGTTGCGTATAGAGCTGAGTCTGGGCTATGTAGGTGAAGATTTACGGGATGGAACAGTTTTTGTGACAAAGTTACATGACGATGTGCCGAACAGTTATCGTGGTAGGAGGGAAGACATTATCGAGCGAATAGTTCGTTTACTTTTGCCAGTCATAGCTTCAGAGCATGATGGTCGCATGACGGGGATTGCGGAATGGAAAGCGATACTGGATGCGCCTTTGGTCGGACGTCCCTATCTCCATGGGGAATTACGCGTGGACATGTAGTTGGGCAGGATTACCAGGGCAACTTTTAGTTGTGCGTGAAATTAGCAAGCCCATCATTTTATACAGGGTTACCTTTAGCCGGATGTGTGGTTTCAGTTTCCTGCCTGTATAAAGAGCGGTGTATTGCGAAGATGAGGGTCATCTATGCTTGTTTGAAGCCGAACATGGAAATCTTTTGTTTACGTTTTTGTTTTTTCTCAGAAATTGTGTCTGTTTTTGTTTTATTTTATCCATAAGAAATAATATTTCTATTCCTTTATTTTTTTTATTTTTTTATTATTTTTTTTAAATTTATTATTTATTATTATTATTATTTTTATTTTTATTTTTTAAATATATATATATGATTTTTTAATATATATTATTTTGGAACAACTTAGAAAGATTGTATTTATGTGTTGTTTTGATTTAATAGGAAGAGATAATGTTTTTCTAAGAAAGTTTGGTGCACCACGGATTAATTGAGCTGCATATGTGTGTACGTGAACCTGGGATGATATATGTATCCGTATGGCTTATTGGTTTCAGACGGTTATTTAGTGAGCAGTGTGACATGGTGTTAAAATTTTGGGGCGTATTCTAATTATCTATATCCGTATTTACAGAAATTTCGGTGGGGGATTAAAATAGACAGGTTTATAAGCAGGGAGCATATATAGCTATGGGTGGGTCGGGATCGTGCCATTGTTTAGTTAATATCAATTTGTGTGACTACATTTTGGTATTATTTTCCAGTTTCGCAAGGCTTAATCCTTGGGAGGTCGAACACATGGGGAAACAAATTAATTAATCATGTCAGTCGATAATATATGAAAGATTCGTTGTCTGTAGTGGGCAAAGGCGAGCGTAGTAATCACAATTATGTGTGAATTTTAGGTTGCGTCATATTAGTTTGTGCTACAAATATTTGATACGTTCTTAGATTTTTAATTGTCTTTTATATGAATGTGTTCGTTGTGGTTTAATCTACGACCTTTATCTTCGGGGATTTTTCGTACATAAGGAGACGTCATGTTCGATCAACAATTTACATGCGTAGTTCGTCACTGGTAGTAATTCTGATAGTTTTAGTATACATTTTGTCATTTAAATTTTAGGAACAAAAAATTGCGGTCCAAGGTCTAGTTTAACAATTATGACCCCCTTTTTTAAATATATATATATATATTAAAAGGAAACAGAAAGCAAGAAACAGAAACCTCTATTTTGTCACATTGCGATTTTTCATTTGAACAATATTGCATATCTAGTGGGGGGACTACGTATTCACTATGACTTGTTAGAATGGGTTCGAAGCAGGATTGGAAAGGAAGAGAGTTCGCAGACACGGATGTGTATTCATAGTGTGGGGATTCACGTCTCGCAACATCCTTCAGTTTTTATATCAGTGAAGGAAATTATTGAGGAAGAGCAGTCATGTTCTTACAGCCAGGTTACGTGAGTTAGGTATGTATATCAATCATTTGTGTCTGTGTTTGTTTCGTTCGCATCTTTATATCAGGCAAGATGCAAATCGTGGTTATGTTTTTATGGTTGTTGTTCTTATCTACGGAGATAAAAAAATAGGGAAGAAAACACAGAAAAAAATAGGATAAGGAGGCAAAAGAATAGTAGAAGTGATCCCAGATGAGTGGGGGATTATTTTTGGCAACCAAGAAGGTAAACAAGGTAATTTTGAACAAGGGACAGAACCATGCATCATATAGTCGGAATTTAGAATAGGCACATAGCCGACTATGGGTGTATCACAGGGGAAGAAAAGAACAACGCCTCGTGCTGCGTATTTAATTCTCATAGGTGAGCAAGGATATTAGGGACCTGGTCGATTATACAACACCGTTTGAGCGTGGTGCTGCATAATAGGATTCATATGGAAGGTCATGTGGTATGCCATCCACGGATTTCTATCTGAGAATTACGGAAGGCGCAAGCGTCGACAATGTTTTAGCGGTAAGGTAGACCTATTGCATGAAGAAGCGGTAGATCTGCTTTTCAGGATACACGTTTGATCATTGTCTGTGATGACGGTATTGGCAAAGTGCAAGGTATATTCATCAATCATTTATCAGGTTGGATGCAGGTCGTAGCCATGTTTTTGTGGCAGATGTTTTCGCCTTCAAAGAATAGCAAAACAAACGCGGAAGTCAGCGCCAGAAAAATAGCAGTAATCCAAGATGAGAGAGGACACACCATATACCCAGGGTAAATTGAGCAAAGTAAGGGGTGGAACCGCACGTCATATAGTAGGAGTTTTAGGATAAGCTATGGGCGTATCATCACGGGAATTATATAAAGAGTACCGTATAGAGCTGAGTTGATTAGTTATACCACAGTGTATCCCCTTAACATACCGAGTCCTCATATGCGAACAGGGGTAATAGACGCCTGATAGTTTACACAACATCATTGGGATTCGCAATGCATAATTAGTTTCGTATGAAAGGTCATTTGATTTGCCCTTCCACGGGGTTTTCCATATAGGGGGTGGCTTGTGGTATTATTAGAAGTTTTGTACAATCGTGAGGAGGATTTGTGGTTCGGGCTGTTTTAGGCCTTTATCGTGGTACTAAGTTGCGGTCACTAATTGGTAATATTTATAGATGTATCGGAAGCAATGTTAGTATTTGGGAAAGCCCAAGAGTCGAGCACGTATTGGTGAAGGGATAAAATCAACATATGAAGACACCAGTGCTTAAAGGTAGATCCACTTCTCAGGATTTTACGTCTGACTATTGTCTGTGACAGTGGTATTGGCAAGATTGGTCTGCGCATAATCAGGTGTCTGTGGTATTACGTGGTGAAATGAGCATGGTTTTTATGTAAGTGTTTTTTTGGGGGGTGTATATGTGAGCCAGATATAGTGACATGAGTAGTTTTCCGTCCAGTAGGCACCCATCCTAAAAACAGTCGCGTTTAACGAAGTGTGTATTCTCATCGGGGCCATTTTAGCATGAGAAACCAAACTAATGATAGCACGAAGTTTTTTTAGTAAAAAATCATAGTAGCGTATTGACAGTAAATGACAGCATGACACACGGTATGGTTCATGTTACCGTATTGGGGATACGTACGTAAGTACTTCTACAGTGTTAAGGGGGGCATAGGTTATTATCTAGCATGGGTCTGCGGGTACGTAGGGAGAGAAGATAAACATGCGTTCAAAAGAAATATTAATAACGTGTAATATATGACCGTTCTAGTATTGATCTATGCATGTTTGTAAGCATCCTAGCTGGTGTAGTGCCCGAGAATACGTATTTCTCCGTGCTATAGTATCAACATGAGTACAGTTATCAAAACATTAATGGTTGCGGTTCCGGAGAGTGACAAATGGCTCACACGGATCTTCTAGAAGAGGTAAGGGTTTTGGTTCGAAGAGATTTGTGTATCGACCACCTAGCTCTTGTTCTATGGTTTTTCTAACTGGTCCATGCACCGCTGTAATGGGAAACTTGCGACATTGTAATTAATCAGCGGTTTTATGCGATGATATTTTTGTGTTAGGTGTTAGGCGGGGGAGTACGAAGTGAATATTTTTGTCGTAGCTGATAGTATTGGCGGGGGCCAGCTAAAATTATGAGTATATTATGACGCGATAGCAGGGCGGTAACTAATGTGTATTGTATGCGCGGGCAAAGGCAGGAATTGAGATGATCGTTTATGAGTCGGTAGTAGGAGTTCTTCCGAAAGGCCGGGGTTTTTCATAATGTATGGTAGGGATAGGAGTATGTTGTTATGGGGAGGAAACGGGTTAGGGATTTGCTGAGGGATGGAGATAGTACGAGTATATCTGATTACTACAGGTAGCTTTATGTG